TGTCATGTTAAACTTATATTAAAGTTTTTCTTCATTACCCATTCAAGCCGCCTCCAGCCATTATTAGTCTCAAAGTGGGTTCCTCGTCATCGAATTTGAATACATGTGCATGCTTCATTTATTCAAGTATTCTAACTGATATAAAAACTTGGTTGGGAATGTTCCAAAGTATGCAAAACTCAAATTTGTCTCTATAACATGCTCCACCTAAATTCCGATCTCCGAAAATTCATCAAAATCAGATAACATTTGTAGCGCTTCTTTTGAAAAAAAACAAATTCATGTATAAACCGCATCTTACGGTTTTGCAGACAAAAATCGTCTATAAAACACGGTTTATAATTGGAAAATTACAGTCAATGTGCCCCCCAGTGGCACAGCGGTATGTCTGCGGACTTACAACGCTAGAATCCGGGTTTCGATACCCATGGTGGGTAGAGCACAGATAGCTCATTGTGTAGCTTTGTGCTTAATTACAAATAAACAATACAGTCAATTTATTTATGAACTTGAGTTTAATTATAAAATGTTCAGTTGTAGAAGGTTCTTTGACATATTTGTATTAGAAAGTTTATTAATGACTTCACATTCGTATATTTTCTAAATATACTTTCAACATACAGTACTCTGCAAACGTGTTATAACAACAGAATATTTTGTCATTCTTTCCATTTTATGGGGCAAATTCTTCCATGCCATTACAGAATATAAATTTCAACACTATGGTAATTTTCCCTGATCCCTGTTGACAACTGAATGAGCCAGGGTGAGAATACTTATCATTCTTTAGAATTCCCATATACTTGTACCAAGGGCATGTTATAAGGGTTCTGCTTAAATGAACATTCTGAACAAATTTAGGGTCTGAAATAACTGTCATGGTACACCATGCAGTGTCTTAACTATATAGAAAGAAGCTAGCATATGGTACCAGTATATGCAGAAGAAATGAATTTAATAGCATTCCACAAATAAACCTTGATAAAAACAGTGTTTAACACTATATATTAAGTTTTGTTGTCATGCCAAGAGAATTGTCAGTAGAGCAGAGACTTCGCATAAAAGATTTACGTGATGCTGGTTGAAGTCTCTGACAAATTGCTGCAGACTTGAAATGCTCCCCAAACACTATCAAGTACATCCTAGATCGTGAGACCGAGACAGGTCAATTTGAAAATAGGAAAGGAAGAGGCTGAACACCTAAACTCAATGATACTGATGTTAAGTATCTTCGTTTATGCAACCTTCGGGACAGAAGGAAGACTGCCAATGATCCCAAGCATGAGATAAACGACCATGTACCAAATGACAGAAAAGTGTCCAGATCTACAGTTATCAAGAAGACTCAACGAGAATGGAATATTTGGTTGTGTAACAGTTAAAACACCTTTATTTCGATCTCCAAGTATTGTCAATAGACTGAAAGTTGCTAAAAGGTACAAAAACTGGACTGTTGATGACTGGAAAAGGGTGTTATGGACAGATGAGTAGAAGTTTCAAATATTTGGTTCAAAGCGTAGGTTGTACGTCCGGCGGAAGAAAGGTGAAAAATACTTAACTCAATGCATAGCACCTACCATGAAGCATGGGGGAGGAAGTGTGATATTTTGGGGTGTTTTTCTGCTGAGGTGAATGGAGATATTTGCAAAATAGATGGAATAATGAACCATCACAAGTACCATCAGATACTGATCTGTCATGGCATACCCAGTGGTTTGAGTATTATTGGTAAAGGATTCTCCTACCAAAAAGATAGTGACCCCAAACACTCATCCAACCTATGTAGAAACTACTTAGCTACGAAAGAAGCTGCTGGAGTCATTCAAATGATGCAATGGCCCACACAGAGCCCCGATCTCAACCCAATTGAGCAGATCTGGGATTTGATAGATCAAAATCTTGACAAATCAAAAGTTACTTCCAGATAAACTTTATGGGAGTGTATTAGAGACATTAAGAGTAAAATCCCAAAGAACACTTTGGTTTAATATGTTCAACAATGTCTCCAGTTATTAAAGCAAAAGGGGAACACACAAAATATTAACTACTTGCTGAACTCAGGTACTTCCACTGAGTTTCTGTTGTACTAAATACGAGGATTAATAAAATTTTGATGTTTCACCTGCGATTAACCTTCCATTGTTCTTTGAAAGTAGCCTGAAACCGAATTTTTGACTTGGTCCTAACACTTTTGCACAGTACTGTATATCAGTATTATCAGAAAGTAATCACTTGAAACGTCGAATAAGCAGGCCTTGATTAGTGTACTTTTTATTTTTCGTTAATAGCTAGGTATAATCCTGCAAGTCTTCTACTTGTATGCAATGGCAACGCTTGCCATTCCTGAAATTTATCTTCCTCTCCTAAACTTTTCACTAAAGTTTAGTAAAAATAAATACTACATCTTAAAGTATACAATATCTTCATTTATCGGCCATTCTACACAAGAATAACCCACCCTAAAAACACTACCCAAATTCTGTTGTCTCTGCAGCCAATCACATTCAGGTTAAATCATGAATACCAGAAAACTGCTAAAGAAGACGTCCATAATATTAAACGAAACTGTTTTATAATTTAATGATAGATATTTTATATACATGTGTATTTAAGGTTTAACATGTTCGTTGAGTTTAAGAGTTTCATTTTAAAATATAGCCAGTCCGGAATTCAATTCCACGTGGTAGACATAACAGATAGCCCAATGTGGATTTGCTCTAAAACAAATAAATCCTTTAAAGAAAAACGTTTGCTCACCAAGGCAATCTGTATGCCACCCCTTTGCCTCCCCAGTTTCAGAATTCTGGAGTCGTAAATGCAAATGTTGAACTGAGCATTTGTGAAATATGTTGTATCCCTGTCTCTGAATAGAGAGGGCGTAAACGTACAGAGGTCTTCTGCTCATATACATTTCAGATTGAATATCTTTGCAAGATGTGTTTTCCTATCATCTATGAAACAAGTGCAAGTCTATATAATTATTCTGCTTTTATACATTTCGGATTGAGTATCTATGCAAAATTTATATCCTCTATGAAACGTGTGCAGTTCTATAGAATTCTACTGCTTGTATGGTTCGAATTTACTACATATGAAAGGAGTATCCCTATTATTGCATGAGAGCTTACAGTTCTGTTAAATTTTTCTATAACTTCTTACTTTTTTTTTTGGCAAAAAGAATCATATTAGGCCTACTTTAATTTTTATCATTCTACTGATTTTTTTTTTATTATTTCCGAGTTATAGTACAACATTTTGGGTTAAAGATTTATGGATTGTTAGAATAAATATACGTAGATATATTTTCCGACATATAAATTGTAGATGTAAAAGATGATGACTATAGTTTTAAGAAGAAGCGTACATGTGTACTAGTAAGACAATGTAGTTGATACAAATGGCATCGAGGTGGAGAATGTTACTATATTTATGTGTCTTTCTATTTCAGTGACGCTCAGCAAGACAACATCAAGATCACATTTCGGTACGAGTCGCTTACTGCTGGGCTTTGGCGGATGCATCGTTCGTGGCTTTAGCAGGAGTGAAAAAAAAAAACTTGTTGAATGAGGATATACTATATTTCTAGAAGTTGAGAAGTAGCCGTAAAAGCGTGACTGTCCATTGTCTGAGCTGTGTTTTCCTTGCTTTGAAAGTGCCAAAAGAGGAAACTGTAGACTGATCAGATTAAGCACGGTGGGCGACAGGAGAGTTTATATATTCCTTAGAGAGTGTATAGTTTTTTATAATAATTAAGTGTGTTGTCCAATAGGATAGAGTACAGTCTACAATGGGAGCTTCGAATCATAAATTTAAGGTAAGCTTTGCATATTTATAAAACATTTTGTTGATAAGTTTAGTAACTTCTCTTTTTTCTCAAAACATTATACGAGTTCATAAATATATGTTTACAACATTTGTAGCTTAGAAATGTAACACAGCTGTTATCCAGTACATACGTGGGGAAAATGCTATACTGCACTTTTGTAGTTAATGGTTTGAAATACAACTCATGTTTTGTCCTGTACATATGTGCTGAAGGGTTTGAACTGCAATACAGGTGTTAATCAGTATATATATATATATAAGGTAAATGTGAACAGTTTATCCTATATAGATATTATTGATTAATTCCTTATAGAAATGGACACTCGATACACATCTGTGATGCGTATTTTTGCTTGAATAATACTTTTTTACAAATATTTTCAAAGTATCGAAACATTTCATACCAACAATGGCGATGTCGTTCGTAGATGTATTGCTGGATTATATAAATATTTATTTGTCTGTTGGATACTTTGTCCCCCGTCAACTATATCCTCGGTTGCTAGATGATCAAGTAACCATACAATGATACTTTGGTCTTACGGCATCGATCTCATTAAATGGTAGAGTACGATCTGTAATAGTTAATGAATTACATCATACTTTGTCTTGTTGTGTTTTAAAGGCTTCACATGCTGGGTCACGATGTAGCTAACTAGATACTTCGTTCGTTTATAAGTTTGCAGCTGATTTCATAGTTGATATAAAGTCCTGTTATCAAAAAATAACTGCTATTTTTAATATTAAAGACATATAATTTTTCAGCGGTAAGCTAGAGGGCTTTATGTAACGCTAAAAACCATGGATCGATCCTTCAGTGGCACAACACCGATAGTCCGTTCTGTAGCTCTGAACTTAATAACAAAACAAATTCGAGGAAATTGAAAAACAACAACACATAATCTATAATTGCACCTAATGAGCTTTAATCGCCTTTTAAACCCGTAATTTTTTGCCCGTTCTGCCAGAATTATTTTAATGATTTCCTAATAATTATCAAGATACCTCATAAAATTTCGATGTTCTTAATTTTGTTTTTTTCCTTCAGCATCAGGCGTACCCACATGAAGCACTGTTGAGTAAATAGCCTCAAACCTCTCCCTGTCGAACATTATGGTGTCACCGTCCGATAGGTCAATCGGAAAATTCTGTCGGACGCCGTTTGGGTATAAAAAGAGTTAAATCTTTATATGAAAATTTTACACATATAGCAAATCGTGATTGTAAATTTTTTTTAAACAAATGTTACTCAGTATTTACAAAATGTGATAATATATTTAATTCGTACTCAACGTTACTTCAGTAAATAACATTGATAGAAAAGCTGTGGTATTCTCAAGTATGTTCCATCATGTTTATTCAGCACACAAAAACAATAAAGAATATCATATTTAAGAAGGAGGCGCCTATACTAGAGAAAGCTCTCAGAAATATTGTCAGGAAGCTGGTAGAAATCTGCTTCCAATCAAATTCGTCGTGATAGGTGGTAGGAAAAGCCCAAAACAGCCACCGTCTAATTCTCGTATTTCTTGAAAAAACATCTTGGTCCTTTTAGCTCTAAGCAGCCTCCAACTTTATTCAAGAAATTAAATGAATAAATAAAATAAAATAAGTAAAAATTAGTTAACTCTTTTTTTTTGTATTTGTGGGAGATAAAGGATAGGTATGAAATGCTCTGATTTAGAATCTAAAATGAACAAATGAATAGGGATATCACAGCATGTGGAGAAAAACATCTACAATTTATGTGAATTTTATCACAAATTTTAGGCCTAAATGTTTGCGATGTTTGGTCAGTTTCCGGTGTTTATATTATGTTTCTTTAAGTAAATTACAAGGCCTATTTGTAATTTAGCTGGTTATATATCAGTTCTTAACCGTAATCGTTATAAATCCAGTATAAAAATATAAGTTTCTTGTTTATCTCATAATTTTAAATTATCATAAATATAACCTTCGTAATTAAAGAGAGAGAGAAAAAATACAACGGTCTATTTTTTAAAAAATAATTATGATTATTTAATTATCTGAGAAGGCACATCAAAATAGGGGTGTCAGGCATCTAAAAATTGGGGGAGGGGTAAATACCTAGTAATGTTTATTGCTGACACTGACACACCAGTATATGTACATGCAATTCCTACGTTATATACAGCTATGCTCGTTTAACTGTTGCCCGTTTTTGTACAAAGTGACGGGTCGTACAGTAAGAGCTGGCATCGTAGTGTAGTCTAAAATATTATTCCATATATATATATATACATCATACAAGGGATGATCAACAGTAAAGTGATTCCAGAAGTCATCATGAATAACATCTTACTTGATCGACTTCACTCGTTCTGACACAACAGACAGCACCATTAAGTCACTGATACCCTAATCCGTCATGGTGCTACAGAGCTTGCTCTTGACAAGTTTTAACACACAGAAGAAGCATTCTCAAGAACAAGACTTGACTGACAGTTAGAATTGAGTGATAAAGAGAGCTCAAGTTTAGACACATCTCTTTGAACCCATCTTTTACCATATGCAGGTAAATATGATGAAATATTTTCAATTTGAGAGGCTGGACTACTTCTGTAACTTATCGAGCAAACAGCTTGTATTCCCAAACCAGAAGTGTACAGTTAATGTCCTCTACATAAAAGGCATAAAAGGCTTACGACGTGGGGATTTTATTTACATTTGGAGACAATGAACAATCAGTTGACTCAAGAGCAGAAATACGATTGCAGAAAATCAAAACCTTAGAGCATTCAGCTGCAAGTACAATAATTCATAGAAAAATTGTGACTCGGTAATGATATTTGTCAGCTAATATAACCATCAAAGTTACTAATGCACAATTAGTTCTCCTGTAGACTTCACAAAAGTACTTGTGCTTAGAATTACATTACAATTCTCTGCTTGGTTCGTGCTGCTTTCAATAAATGGAAACAATTTATGGTTTACTCCAAAGAAACTTCTTGTAGTTTTTGTTCTTCGCACATGTATCCACAATCACTAAATTTTATCGATGTGAAAAGCAGTACCCATAATACTTCTGGAACCAAATATTTTACACGTGTCTGTACTCCACTGTATGACCAAACACAGTATAACAGTTATCATTACCTTTCTCATGCAGATTATCAAGTGATAAACTATACTTTTCAAAACGTTTCTGCAGTAGATTGAATATTCCTGTTAGCTTCATATCAGAGAACCCTACCTTATCTATTGAAGATTAAATTCTTCATTTTCACTGAATATATAACAACAAAACAAAGTTGGCTGCAGGGAGATAGGATAATACTTTACCTTTTGTCATTTACAGTTGAGTTAGTACTGGGTGGCAATCCTAAGTTTTGCGCAGATAGGAGCTGACCTCTCATGTGAATACAATCTTCTTTACTAATATTACCAGTGGCTTCCAGCTATATACTGTCCTACTGATTCCCTGTCTTTTGCTTATCCTGGCTACACCAAGTGTTTTCCAGCAGTCCCATTCCATCTGAATGTTGATAAAAGGCTTCCATGGTTGCTTCTTTCACTTTACTAGCACAGAGGAGATAGATACCCTCCCAATAGAGTTGTGTTCAATTTGATAAATGAGCTTCTCTTGCAAACTTTTCAGTTTCCTTATTTAGCTATACCCCAGCATAGCCTGGCTCATACATCCAGATAAAGGTATTACCATGCATTTACATTGATTTCTGCCATTCGTCTGGGGACCAACCAATCTGAAGTCTGTGCAGTACTGCATGTGAGTCAGTCGCAAAAAAGTATGTCGGTGGCACTGTCTACTTGCATTTCACTGCTTTCAGCAATCCAGAGTAGAGCTTGCTTTATGACTTCTCTCTCTCCATCCTTGTGCAGGATGTAACTAATAGCGCCACCCGTACCGGGTAGATTGACAGATAAGGAAGCAGAAAGGACATTTCATCTATGTTACTAAAGGGTGGAAACAACACATTAATGCCTTGTTACTGCTTATAAACAGGACTGATCCGCATAAAGTTCTGCACCATAGAGAAGTATCTTTGGTTTGATTATACTCTAGTTAAGGATGGGAATTAAATTACTGAGGTTGAAAGAATCTCTTCTTGCTATTGAAATTAGTCTTTGAGTTAAGAATAAGAGTCCATTTTCGACTGGAATGCATTACGGAAAGATGGCCCATTGGTACCACAAAGTCATCAATGTATCCTGTGGCTGGAATGGAAGTGGGTTAACATCAGAATTGCAGCAACGGGAGGACATATACTTATTAGACTGAGATACTGTGGAAGTTTCAGCTGAAAAACAAACTTTTTAGATCTGATTAGCATCAGAACTGTGGCAACTGAAGGACATAAACTCAGCAGACCGGGTTAACGTTAAAACTGCAACAGCTGGAGGACATAAGTTTATTAAACGGGGTTGTCGGCAATGGATGTGGCTAAGCTGATGTGTTTGAAATACTATGATATACTCTTCTGCTTCTTAACAAAACCTGAAAGAAAGAATTTATATTAAAAATATAATAGGCCAAATATTAATCTGTCATGACAAGTTTGTTGCTAAGCGCAAAGCTACGCAATGGACTATCTATGCTGTGGCTACAGTGGATACCGAAACCCGATTTTTGTGTTATAAACCCTCAAACTTATCGCTGAGCCAGCGGGGGGAGGTGGAGGTATGAAAAGTATAATTAATTATAATCATGCTTCGCCAGCTTTGAAAAAAAAAAAGAGGCGTTCACACAATTGTTGTTGGCTTAACTGTTTTACAAAGTGTAACGAACTATCCTAGACGAGCAAAGACTCACCCAAATAACCAGTAATTTTGTATCGTTATAAGAAACTACTGTTTTTTTTTTTACTTGTAACGACTTTATAAAATAAACTTTAGGGCTGACTCCACAATGTATTAACTGAACGCTAGTTTTCAAGTTAATTTGTGAGCTATTCGTGAGGCAAGAGACAGTTGGTAATGAATAGTAGAGCCACGACAACAATTGTAAACATCTTTCACGAACGTTTCGGAATTACACACATTCCATATTCAGTAAAGCTATGACAATAACGAATTGA